GATGTCGATGGAACTGACTCAGTGGAGGCAGCAGATGTCGATGGTCTTGAAGCAGCAGATGCTGATGGCATCGATTAAGGAGATACAGCAAATGTAGATGTTGTTGGTTCAGAAGCAACATTTGTGATTGGTGTGTTATCTTCAACAACCTCAGCGTCACCGATTTTCATCAATGTCTCAGGAAAAGAAGATGGAGAACTTACATGTAGTTTAAATGTTTCTTCACAAATTTTGGCAAAGGTATTTTGTTCCTTTGGATTGCTAAGTTTCTTGAACTTAAGTAAGGTCTGGTGAAAAGAACCTTCACAGCCAAGTTAACCAAAATAGACGAATACCCATCCACTTGCGACAAAGAAAAATGTGCACTCAATTGTTTCTCAGTTTCAGTTTGACTTTTTTCTAATGAAGTGTACACATACAAAATGTGTCCGTTCCTTAGATCCTTCCAAGATTCAGGCATCGCAGGATAATTTGATTTCAGCTATGATGCAAGGGGATACCCCTCCAGCAGCCATTGAAAAAATGCACTTTTCTCGGGGATCCCCTGAGAACCGCACGCGCTGGCGCACACGTACACTGGCAGATATTGACCACCGCTGACTACACCGCTAACATCCCTACATTATCTAAATCAGTGATAATATTGCCAATGCACGTGTCAGGGAGATTTGGCTTTCACCGAAAATGCAGGTTCACTCAACACCAAGAAATTCATAGGAAAAGAGTCAAGAGGTACAATTAGGGAATGCAGGTGACACAGAAAGCAAGGAAAAAGGTTTTTGTGGATGTCTTTCGAGGCTCAATAGAGGGATTTCACATTAGCGCTGTCTGCACATATCCGCATCGAAACCGAGGCTCTCTGAGTTAAACTTCATCGTGCGTGCCCGCGGAGTCCACACAGTACATGGAGTATTCGGTTCGTAAGTGTGACGCCACTTCAATTTTAACCATGCCCGTTGTCACGTAAGTTATTCCTATCAGACTTGCCTTTGATATGTTGTTCAAGGACAACTCTGTCCACTCATGTGCATCCCAATATACTGTATACATTTTCTTTTATGTTTTTACAAATCTTTCCCAGATGAAATTTGAATTTCCTGTGTTTATCTCTTCATTGTTTTTTGTCCAAATTTCTGCCTAGACCATCCCATCCTGATCCATTCATGTCTTGCTTCCACTTGGTATCATGTGTGGCAAGAAAGAATGCTTAATCTGGAATGGCAAGAAAAAAGGAGGATGGGATCCATTCGTGTGCACTGAGTCAAGTGATCGAGGTTTGTGTACATATATATAGTTTATAATTGAACCCATCATCAATATTATGTAAAAAAGTGGAATCATAATGCAGCATTCTTTCCAAAGTGTGCAGACCTAGATAAATTGAGGGAGATTTACTACTGTCATGAAATTTGAACTTAAAAAGTATACGGCTTATAATAGACAAAAGAAAAACATGGTTTTGAATTTGTGTGTGAATTCAGTTTATTTAATTTCAGTGTTTAAAAGACTCTACTGAAACAAGTACATGTACATGTATTTTTGATTGCTGGAATTCTTGGAAAAATGCAAACTTGAAATGTTTTTTCAACATTAACGTACTTTTATAGATTCTTTGGGTGGTTGTTGTCGAATAGCTGAGAAGAGCCAATGAACTGAAGGCTGATGAAAACATGCTTCGATGGATATGTAACACATGCCGTGTAGGCATCAAAGTGAAGTATCATGGACATTCTTACATGATACAATAGATATGGACAACTTTCCTAGCTGAGTTTTCTGGTAAGTACAGCATGAAACAGGCCAAACACATTTATTACGTGACCTTTCATGGACTGTTATGTACAGGGTGTCCACATAAAAAGTATACCAAGATAAAAATTACTGTTATAGCAAAAGTACTTCATATATGGGAAAGAGAAAAATGTCTCTAGAAAGGGCAGAATGCCCTCTTTGCAATGGTATACAGCTTGTGATGTTATTGACACAGATGACTGAACAAACTAGACCGGTGTTAAGGGCACTGAAATCGGCACTGTGACAAGTTTGCATATGTGATTAAGGCAAGGCGTAAAAAATATTGTTAGCGTTTGCCCACGTCCTTGCCGTTCTGCACAGGAAGCCGTTCGTCTGCGATGGAACAGGATAAATAATCCACGGCCTGGAAACCTGGAATGGGACATTTTACGGTATTCTCCATTGTTATTTAAATTGGTCTACCGCTGCGAGCAGAGCGCTAAGGGCTACAGGAGTATCCAAAGAATGTTGAGAATGGCAAACAAATCCATGAAAAAAGGGCAATGGAAACAGATTTTTCCGTGCATAGTAGAGTGTATTTGTCTTGAATTTTTTTATTAAAATAAATAACTTTAGTAGGTGATCCCCATTGGCCATTAAAAAAGAATCCAGTCATTTTTTAAAAATACAATATAATCTAACAAATAATTAGGAAGATTTAATATTACCATAATTATTATCTTACTCCGACACCCATACACCAAAGTAATAAGTATCATAGGCAAAATTGTTATTTTCAAGTGACTCCGCATTTCCCGATAAAAAATAATACCAGAGTAAATTCACACCATCCCTGCAGAAAAAACTCTCCCAGGAGTGATTGACGGCTCTTTTGTCCCGGTAGATGCAATGCCAATAGTAAAAGTATTTGGGTCTGGGTCACATTATCTTTGAAGATGCCCTCAGTTCTAGGAGGACTTGTGGGACAGCGTTAGCCAATTGATAAGTCAATTCTTGCTAGCAAGGCAGTCGTTGGTGGACTTTCAACACTCACAGCAAGTCAGAGTTACGTTATGTTGCCTTAAAAACAGTATTACCAAGGAGAATCCTGGGCCTGCTCAGGCCAGCTTCCTGGCTGGAAGCCAGACTTTTTTAGAAATGTGCAGAGTTACTTAGTGGATGCACTGCCCAGGATAAATTAAATAATACTCTTTTGCATCCTTTTTCTGAAATTAAAGATAAATAATGTGCAATGTAGGTATCTCCCAGGCACACAATTTTATAACTTCTTCCATAGTACTTCTGATCAATCTTTGACGAAAAAGAATTATCTTGCTATTAGAAATCCAAATATATGTAAATATATTTCACAACCACACAACGTGCCACTGCAAAGCAGAATGACTACATGCAATTTGCTGTATTATACAACGCGTTTGCGAAAAATTGCAAAAATCTTCGAGTCAATTTTGTATTCAAAATCATATACATTTGAAATGCACAGATTTCCTAGATTGGTGAAGTGGTTGACTATTTCCAACAGCAAAACGATAGTTGTTTTGAAGAATCCCAGCCAGGAAATGATGACCACATATATAGTCGCTCACAATGCAAACTGTCGGCTCTTAAGAACCGTGAACAGCGAAAACTGGGCAATCACCTGAAAAATCGGATACTTACTGTCGTGTGGTAGCCCTCCACAGTAGTTCAGCTGGCTTCCTTTGTGTACGCGTAATCCCCCTGGCTCTGAGAACGCACTATTGTTAAAGGAACGCGGGCAGAACGGGGGCTGTTTGCATGCGTGGGGACGGGCGGATTAACGATGATAGCTGCGTTCATGCCGTTCACACGTGGGCGAATGCTTAAAATATTTTTGACGCCTCGCCATACAAGGCTAGACCATGCAGGTGTGCAGAATACCAAATGCCATTGTTTTAAGAACTGTGAGAAGTTGCATATCGATAACAAAAGTCAGCATGTGGGGTTAAGGAAATTTCTTTTTATGATGTTACCTGAAGAACGAAATTTTCACTACACCCTCAGCTAATGTTCAGGAGTTAACATGAAGTGAATAATCTGCGTCAAGACCTTGAAATGACCAGACAAGCAGTAACGGACATGTTATGAAGTTGTCAGATGTGCATTGACAGGAATGGTCGCCATATGGAGGACTTAGCACATTAAACTGAGGAGATGAGGTAAGTAGCGAAAACAAAGCAGATAAGATTGATTTAAGTACATTCCTTGTTTTCAAGAATGCATTCTAAAAGCAAAGGCATTTGGTATTCTGCACACTTGCACAGTCTAGCCCTGTTAATCACATATGCAAACTTGTCACTGTGCTGATTTCAGTACCCTTAACACCGGTCTGGTTTGTTCACTCATCTGTGTCAATAACATCACAAGCTGTATACCATTGCAAAGAGGACATTCTGCCCTTTCTAGAGATATATTTCTCTTTCCCATATATAAAGTAGATTTGGTATTGCAGTAATTTTCATCTCGGTATACTTTTTATGTGACACCCAGTATACTAAGTCAGGTACTATTTATACTGGCCTTTTGAGGGTAGAAAATGGATTGCTCTTTCCCAGACCAAAGCTCTATTTTTCTATATCTCCATCTCTCCAGTCAGTTTCTTCTTTCATCTTTATAATCATTTGTAAACATCTGGTCAGTTTCCCTATTTAGTTTGTTTCATGTCTGTAGACAGAGAGTCATTTTATTAAATCTGTTTTTTGACAGTTTGTCACCTAATACTTCAGGATATGCCTTTGAGGAAGCATCTTCAGTTATTGAGCCACTTACACGTCAATGTCATCCACAGCAAGAAACCAACCACTCTGACATCACTGCTGGCAACGTTTATTTTGTGGCGGCCAAGACTTTGCTGTGGGCTATTATGTAGACGACTTGTAAAACTGTTTTAAACACTGTCTGATGCTATATGGTGCAGCAGGAGAGTAACCTTTTATTCTTAATAGGTACATGTAATTCAGACTGGTTATTGTTCTTTTTCTCCATACAAAATGTAACTGGTACACATACTAACTTCTTATGGAAATATGGGTGAAATCCGTGTACCTGTAATTCACAATATAATTCCTGACAGTTTCCAACAAGCCCACTTTTGGCTTTGTAAACATTGTTTGTTTAATGTTAAAGGTTGCTTGATTAGTTCTACTCAGATGAAACTCAGGTGAAGTTCGTTCATAGTAATTTTAATAATGCATGGTGTATAAACAGTAACGTTACTTCACAAAATAATTCAAGTTGTTCAACTTGCCAAGATGCAGTGGAGTTTCATTTTACTTGCAAAGTTTTGGCAATAAAATTTACTTCTGGTCAACAGATCTGAGTTTATTGGCTTTTTCTCAATTTTGCGAAAAAGGCATTCTTTTTGTTTCTGTTTGTATTTTTTTCTTCTTCCTTTTTCTTCTGCTCAAAAGCCTGTTTGTTTTGTACACGTTTCTTCTGCTGGTGACCGTAGTGCTTTTGCAACTTTGGATCATCATCAAACTTGTACCAGTGAAGAACCCTTATGCATAGATGGTCCTAGAAGCATGACATCATGATGATGTCATCAAGTGATTTATTATTAAATTTTGAATATATAAATATTCCGTTAAATTTATAAAAATCCATATGAAATAAATTGTGGCCTCCGGCAACATTCTGTTTGCAGCAAGTGCCAGAATAAAATGTGGTCTTGAATTCATCTCGTGTGGGTTTGCACTCATTTTTCTTGGAAATGATGTTCAGGTGCTGAGCATGTATGCCTTGTAGAGAGACGCATGTATGCCTTAGAGAGAGCCACATGTATGCCTTAGAGAGAGCCACATGTATGCCTTAGAGAGAGCCACATGTATGCCTTAGAGAGAGCCACATGTATGCCTTAGAGAGAGCCACATGTATGCCTTAGAGAGAGCCGCATGTTTGATTTTGAGATTGATATTGCTAGGCCTTTATTGTAAATTCACGCCTGCCTTTTTGTATTTGGCCATGTGTTGATTCGCTGTAGTCTGGTTCCAAAACGAGAAGATCCCTGATGATCCGGTAACCAGAATTGCATCATTGCCACATATATATGCAGTGCATATAAAATGTGCAACAGTGCACGCAGAAAACGGCAGATTTTAAAGTCAGAAGTCATCCTTTTGTACCCTTTTGTTGGAATGACAACATTCACCACTGGATTCCCTTGCTTCAAACTATATGTTAGCTTCTTTTCATGTAGTTCTGAGTCGGGTGCCACGAAGACCATTTTCTGAACGGAATTTTGGGATGCGTTTCATGGCCGTAAGCAGCTCTGTGAAATTGGGCCATGCATCAACGGTATTCTTGATGCTTTTACATTTTACCTGTGAGTCAATGCTTTTGCTGTTGTTGGTGCATCAGAACTGATGATCTTTCTCTTGCCGTATAAATGTTGTATATCTGTGTTTGCCAAGGAGCATAAAATACATGTACACAGTTTTTGAACTTAATATAATCTGCAACTTTACCTAAGCATACTGATTAGGGAATGCTATGGCAGATTTTAATAAAAACAATCAGTTGCAAAATGTTTCTAGTTCCATTGTGGATACTGCTTTGAATATTTTGACACACATTAAATTTGACTATTATTTACCCAGACTTAAAGTACTCTGACTTGTACTCGTAATTAAGTACTTGCACTCAGAGATACAAGTACTTGTACTTGAAAATCTTTTTCTCAGCTGATAAAGTACTCAGACTTTCAGGTACTTGGAAATTTAAGTACTCGGCAGTCATCTCTTCTCAGAAAAAAGTACTCGATTAACACACTACAGTGGCGGTTCATGATGGTGATGGGGGATACACAAGACCTATAAAACAGGCACCGTATAGACTTAATCGTGACAAATTATCCAAGGTTCAAGAAGAAATTAAGTTGATGTTGGAGCATGACAGTATAGAGCCTAGTCAGAGCTCATGGAGTTCTCCCATGGTCATGGTATTGAAGACTGACGGTACCCTAAGGTTCTGCATAGATTATTGAAAGGTCAGTGCGGTAATTATGAGTCCTATTCTATTCCTAGGTTGGAAGACTACATCAATAGAGTGGGACATTCTGCGATTGTCAGTAAAATAGACTTCTTAAAAGGCTTTTGGCAAGTGCATTTGACTGATAGAGCCAAAGAAATTTCTGCATTTGTGACACCAGATGGTCTGTACCAATGCAAAAAGATGCCATTTGGGATGAAAAATGCCCCAGCTACATTTCAGAGAATGATGAATCAAATTATTGCCAGGCTAGAGATTTGTGTTGTTTGCACTGACGACATTTTGGTGGACAGCGATAGCTGGGAAGACCATGTGAAACACTTGAGTGCACTCTTCGAATACGCGTAAAACATTGTAATCGCATCGGGGCTATTTGGGTTAAAGTATGCCTTCGGAATGCATGTAATGCACGGGCGCAGGTGCCGTGACAGGCACGCACACCTGATATGCCTACGCCATTCAAACTCAAATGGCGTCCATGGTGATTATACCTTTTTAGTAGAGTTCTCCATCTTGGGCTGCTCTGCAGTGCTACACTATCTTTGGTCATGGCATTGGTTGGTTGTCCCTGCCTTTGTACTGCTTGCTTATTGGCTTCCTTCGAGGTCTTCTTCCAGCCCGTCTCTTCCCCAGCCCAACAGTCAGAGCGTGTCCGAACTCACCCACAGGTGGAGTGTGCTGCTGGTCCGGTTCACCTACGCTGGTCTGTTCGAGCTTCAGGGCGTTTTTTTCCAAACAGGGGCAAGTCTACCTATGTCTTTCAAGATAGCATTCTTCAGCAAATGGAGTCGGCTCTGAAAGATGTTGATTTAGCTGCTAGCTCATGCATTTGCTGCATGTCTTTCCTCCTCCTCCTCCTTACCGTGTTCTTGTTCTGGGCTTGCTAGGAGGGTTCTGATATTCTGATTTGAGTTTGTGTTCATGATCTTTAACTGCCTGAACGATTCCTTGCTTACAGGGCATCTCTTCGTGCTACAACTTTCCGTGGGAAATTGCCTATTGTGGCTATGAATATTCTCCACGCGTCAATTAATTCTGCCCTCAAAGTCTTCCCCTGTTTGCTGAAGATATTGTTGCGGGTGAGTTTACCTCTCAAAAGTGAGGTCAAGCGGATCAGCAATGCTTGGAAGATCTTTTTTTTATCAGCCGACCGACTATTGTCCTCGTGTTTCTCGTCTGGCTCCTTCGAGGCCTCCGCAAAGCTCCACTCCTCTGATGCGTCGTCCTACAGCGACTCCTTGACATGTTCATCAGCCTTGGAACAGTCACCTCTTCAGCTCCGGCTTCCTCCAGAGTCCAGCGTGGTGTCGCCCGCCGGCCCCTCAGTCTTTTGGGGGTCGGCATTGATGACTATTGTGCCCCTTCTTCGGTTGTCAATCCTGAACCTGTTGGCAGCCATCTTCTATCTTTCGCAGGGCTCTGGGGGAAATAACGTCGGACGGATGGGTCCTTGACACTCTTCTACGTGCTTACCACCTTGAGTTTACGAGTGCCCTTCCATCCAACACGGTTTTTCACCCGATTCAGGTTCAGTCCAAGTGTGGGGCCTTGGAGTCGTAAATTGCAAACCACTTTCAGAAGCGGGGTATCATTTCAGTTCCGGCACTCCATGCCTGCACCAGTTTCATGTGTACATTTTTTCTCACCCCGAAGGACGACTTGGGGAAATGGAAAGCAATTTTCAATCTAAAGCTGCTGCATCAATTCGTCCACCCCAGCAATTCTCGATGGAGACCCTTCCCACAGTTCTTCGTTCAATCTCCACTCTGGCTTGGGCAGCTTCAGTAGACCTCAAGGATGCCTATTGACGATCGCCGTTTCCTGCGCTTCTCGTATCAGTGTCTGACCTACGAGTTTCGCGCTCTCCAGTTCATTCTTTCCACTGCTCCAAGAGTGTTCACCAGAGTGGTTCAAGCAGTGGGGCTTATCTTTGTCACTCTGACATCCTCACCTTTCAGTACCTCGAAGATTGCTTAATCCTGAGTCCAGGTTGTTTCAGCTACCGCAACGATAAGTGCTCTTACAACCAGTCTTTGGTTTCTAATCAACCATGATACGTCAAGAGCAATTCTGTCGCAGATGCCCTACAGACGCTTACATGGACAATCTGATAAATGTGTTGCCCTGTTTCAAGTTCATCAACAGATAAATGTTCGCACTTAGCTTTAACTTCTTGGTCTCATGGCCAGTCCTATCGACCTTGTCCCTTGGTGCTGACTCCACATGAGACCTTTTCAACTCCAACTCCTGTCTCACTTCTGACCGCACACAGATTCTCTGGACCTTCTCGTTCAGGTACCTGCCTTTCTAAGTCACCACCTAACATGGTAGTCTTCCAAGGCCAATCTCTGCAGTGGCCTTCTTTCTGCCCTTCCAGGTTACAACGTGGTGCTTGCACAGACCAGGCATGGGAATCTTTCTGGTTTAACCGGAATTCCATTTTTTTCTCTTCAAATGTGTGGTCTTCGAGTTCAGTGTAAAAAATTGAATACAATTTGGGAGGTATGTTGTAAGGGGTGCTCAAAATTTCCATAATTCCCAGTGAAATTTGTTCCTTGAAACAATTCAATTGACACGTTGCTTCGGGACAGTATCGCTTTCTCGGGCAGGGTTTGTCCGACAGAGTGAAATATCCAGCTGCTATCCAGCAGACCTCCTTGTGTCTTATCTGAATGCTCAACTCCCTACATTTTGCACCCAATTTCCGCACCCTCAAGCGTGGGCAACCGATGCTTTGCTCATCTCTGTGGAAGGTCTCCTGGCTTCTGCGTTTCCCCCATTTCACTGATCCCAAGGGTGCTGTCAAAGATAGAGAAGGTTACTGTCACTGAATTCTTCTCATTGCATCATACTAGCCGAGAGAGCCTTGGTTTCCCTGTGTCGTGAGGCTTCTGGTTGATATTTTCCTGTTGATGCCCCAGTGCCACGACTTGCTGTTTCAGCCCAAGTCTCACCATCTCCATCTGGATCCTCTTAACCCACTCCTAACATGTTGGACATTGTCCAACAATCATTTCAGCAGGTAGGGCTTTCTCAAGACGCTGCCGCCCTAGCTACCAGAGGTAGATGCCTGTCAACGAGAAAGATCTATGACAGCCACATTTGACATTTCAACTCACGGTGTAAAAAGCGTGCTGGAAATTGGACCAAAGCAACTTTTCCCCTCATAATGGAGTTCTTTATGCATCTCTTCCAGTCTGGCCTCCTCATTGCAACAACTACCTTTTGGCTTTGGCGGCTATCCATAGTGGTTTTCCTGATGGATCCTCTATAACTTACAACCCTGTGATCCATCATCTTCTTTGAGGCATGTTTATTGAGTGTCCCCCAACCAGGTGGCTCGTTCCTGGATGATGACTTTTGGCTGGCCCCCCATTCAAGGCTGTGGGACACCCCTCACTTCTTCACTTGGGTATTAAGCTGGCCTCGTAACTGTCATCACTGCTAGCCGAGGCTGGGAAATTAACCACTTTGTGCCTGTGTACCCGGTTTTGGGGAGATAGACTTTATACAGGAAGCCAGGGAGCCCGAAGTCGGACAAAAGAGCTTTGCCTTGCAACAAGAGACCATACTCGGAGCAAAACACTGAGCTGCTGGGAATTGCCAACATTTTTTTCAGTTGCCAATAGTGGAGGAAATCTGTCATTGTTTGAAAGATTATACCACTGTTTGTGGCATTCAGTGCGAGCGGATTACCACTGGGGCAAAAGCGATCCAGTGATGAGCAATACAATACTGCTGCATGCTAATCTAGTCCCTATTGAAAAGATGCCAGCAGTGCACTGTGCCGGTTTCGGGAACAAAAGTAACTTACATAACACCACACAATCTGGGCTCTTGTCACAAGGCAGCAGGCTTGGCTGAAATACTCGGGCGTCAATAAACATTGTCTGTCAGATTGGAGTAGCCTCCAGAAAGTCATTCGTGTGGGTGTAAATGCCCAGTAAATGAAGTTATGAATTTTTAAAGATTTTTGAAAACAGAAAAAAAAAATTGCCCGGCCCAGCAGAATCAACATATATAAATGGACCAGGCGCAAAGTGGTTAAAGCTCTATCCATTGCTGATGGCCACATTCTATGGGAGCCTCTTGGGGTGCGTTTGATCCTGGAGATTGGCTTCCTTACCAAGAACCAAACACCCTCATTTCAACCTCCTGACATTTTTGTCCCATCCATCCAGTTGTGGGCCTCATCTGCCTCTGATAAACTCTGGTGCCCCATCCAGACACTCAAGTGGTACCTCCGCTGGACTAAGTACATCCAAGGGCAAATGACTCAATTGCTCATCTCATCTTCCAAGCCTCACCGTCCAGCCTTCAGAGACACTATTGCCAGGTGGATGGTCTCGGCTATTAAGTTTGCTAATTCAGACTAGCCCACAAGTTCTGATAATCAGTGCTGATGCCATATACGTGCTCACATAGTTCAGGCCGTTTCATCCTCCTTGGCTTGTGGAAGTAATGGACTAGGAAACAATGCATATGTATTGGTAATCTGGTAGATATGCAGTAGTAGACTTGCCCCACTCTAGGTGGGGTGGGGGATTTTCAGTTGTCTGCACTTATAAGTTCCTGGCTGGTGCCCCAGAGTACAAAGGGATAGTTTTTGAGTACTTAATTCTGGGTATCTAAATGAACCATGTTAGGGTTGTAAACGTCAAGCATGTTGAAGGTCATTTGCATAACTTTGCTGATCATCACTCACAAGATATGACCAATGCATATACTACTATATTACCAGTGTATGTTGCCGCCCCTGATCAAATGAAATATCCAAGTCCTTCTTGTGATAAAGATTCATCTAGTGATGGTTTGTGTCCCTGAAAGTGATTTGTTGTGTAATGGCTTGTGTTGCTGAATGAACCACAAGAAGGTCTTGTCACTGTGAACATAGATTGGCAGACCATGTTTGCAAGTCCTCTGTTTAACTGCCTAAGAAAATCATTGTTACTTAACATATCCTTAGGGGAGAGTGGCTAATACTTCAATCTGTGTTTGTGATATTTGTGAAAATTAAATTAATTGACCTGAAATACAGTGCATGGCAATTTATTTCATCATTACCATTAATCTGCAGGTCACAGCTGAGAGTGTTTGGCCAACCATGATGTTTAGTCAGTCTTCTGCCTTTTTGTGAGTTGGGCTGTTGCCACATTAAGAGATCAGATGTGATCTGGTCTTATGCATGGGGGCCTTGTTCAACAAAGCCATACTCTTGTTTCATAAAATGTGGAAGAGATTGGTATAGTAGTTTTCCTCGATGAGATGGTCTCTTTAACTCAAATTTTGTAGGTGCCGGTTAGAGACCCTTTTTCAAGTGTTCCTTGATTTTGTGTTTTTAATTTCAGTGCTGTCTTGGAGAGCCATCACGCCGCACTAGCATTCCAACTCACCACAAGGGAAGATAGATGTAATATCTTCAAGGAGTTAGATAGGTTTGTATATTTTCAAGCATAGTTGTCTAACCCTATGTCCCCTGGCAATTCCACATGTAAACCTTTGTGCATACTACCAAATCAGGGTGGGTTTTGATAATGTCCTGGAGGTTAGGATTAATGTAAGTCTTACCCTGCAGTTATTTTCCAGTCAGTTTAGATTCATACACATGCTTTTTGTGCTGGTAAGTATGGAGTGCTTTGCCAACAGATTGTTGGAGACTATCAAGCACAGCACAGATCATAATAGAATTTCATCTTAGTCCTGATGAAATCAGCTAAATCATCAACATATAAGCTCCATAATAGGCTTTTCTACAAAGTGTGGAAAAACCTATCTTATTGACAAGATTTTGTTTTGCTTTTCTGCAGCTGGGGAAAAGATATTTGTCAGAGTCATACTTGTTCATTGCATTTTGTGTCCGATTTATTGTGCATTCTCTTGCAGCTGACCGCCTATGATAAATAGAACAGTCCTGTTAAGCTCCCATTTGGCTTGACCAATAAAGTTTTAGAAAATTTTTCCTGCCAAATGATTTTTCAGCCCGTGTAAAAATCCCTGATCGCCATAGGTTGAGTGGTGCGTCTGTAGGTGCCACAGGCTTACGTAACTTCAGTTTTTATCTCCTTGGTTGTAACATCAAGTGTGTGATCTGAGAATTTTTGCAAGTGACTGCTATGAACTTTCCTGAGGTCTCTGAAGCAGCAGATAACGATCGGTCGGAGATAATCCAGCCCCAGTACCATCAGATCATCAGATCTAGCTATTACAGAGCTACATGTAGTACGATCCTTCAGAATCCAGTCCCAGAATTTTGCAACACTCAGCATTGTTGAATAATGTTACCTGAAATAACTGTAAGTTGAATATTTTGTCTTCTAAGAGATTGTTGTCGAAATGCAGTTTGCTATGTTTAAAAATACCCAGTGTTACTTATTGGGTACTGACTGACCATACATGAGCATGATTTGCAGATCAGTATGAGATTTTCTTGATGTATGACAATTGCAAACGTAATTGAGATATGTTGTTTCAAATGCAATGCAATGGAAACTTTTAAGTAATTTCCGGCATTAAGTAGTACACATGGAACTTGCACATGACAATATTGAATTTATTTGTATAGATGGCCGTAACCTTTGGGATTTGAGAATTCCATTTACATCTACTCTACACGTACGAACGGTAGTTCTGAGTAGCCTAACACTTGAAGTCAAGCTGTCCTTGAGAGGAGACTTTGCCGGACTCTGTAACCTGGCTGGAACGCCATGTAACCGTCCAAACGCACTGTTAGGGAGTGGGAATTCACATCTTTACTTATTGAGGGAGAAATCACCTATCAGGGACTTATATTTGATCAACATAATGAAGTTACCAATTTTTCATAGCGAAGAGTAAGTATGCTTAGTAAGTCATAGGACAAACAATTTAAGGGCACATTGTACCGATTATTCTTCTAACTTCAACTTCAACTTCATAGTAAATAATCTGGAATTGTAAATACATTAACCTGAATTTTACAAACTGGTTTCAAGTTATTTGTTCCATATGTCTGAAGTATCTTTACCCAGAGTCATCACTAACATAATGACCAAACTGTTCAGTTTAGATTTGTTTTAATAACTGACATTAATCAACATTGTAAATCTTTTTAGTAAAGGGCAACAATGTTGTTAAATTGTTTTTCAACTGATTTGTAAATTTTCCAGGTATCACGCAATTTAAATGGCAAATCTCCCTGTTTCTGGTATTTGTAAGAAGTATGAATTGAAATTGATAAGACCAAATCTGGGTGGGAAGGTTTTTTCTGAAATGAAGCCACTTGTTTTGATTTAAATCAGCCTTTCAGATTCAGTGCATAAATTTATGCAAAGGATTTGTAATCATGATTAAACTTCGCTTCTGTAATTGCAAAGGAGATTTATTACAAACCTACCTATTGTAATAAAACTGATTTTGCACCCATGTGAGCACGGTAAAATACCAGCATTTTGAAAAGGTGTGCTGATATGTGTATCACATAAACTAAATGCACATGTGGTTGATGGCATTTGTTACACTTATTGGTTATCAGGTATGTGTCCCTTGTACATGTTGTAAACATTTTCTGTGAACTTCAGTATTTGTTTTAAAAACTGAGTACTTTACCCTTGGTACCCATGTCTCTGAAGGTACTGTCTTCTCTGCAGTTATATGTAGGTGCTGTATTGCATGCATGCCACCTGGGCTTCAACAGTTTATGATTTCAATCAAACGACATGATTCCAATCTCCTAAATTAAATCAAAATTTGTTAATTTTGTAGCAGAATAAATAATGAAAGACAATGTCATCCATCAAAATTGCTTGTTTTGGAATAAATAATTATAAAGCTTACTTAATTATCTCAATAAAAAAACAAAATAATCTGACTTAATAAAAAATCTGATTGACTTAATAACAAACAATCTGATTGGAATAAAAAAATCTAATTTTTAAAAATGAGAACCCTTAAAATCACCAATGCTGATAATTGGCTTTTTCACAACTTTGCGGAAAAGACATTACTTCTGTGGTTTTTTTTGCTTTTTTCACAATTTTGCAAAAAAGGCATCCTTTTTTCTTCTGTTTTTTTCTTCCTTCTCCCTCTTCTGCTCAAAGCCCATTTCTTTTGTGAACATTTTCCGGCCACGACTTTGGCCCTTTGGCAACTTTGGATCTTCATCAATGATGTCACAATGACGTTATCGAGTGATTTATTATTGATTTTTCAATATTTATTTCAGCCCATTGACTTTGTACACATTTTTGAGGCATCGGTTTGGTTGCTTTGATCGTCATCAAAGTTACCCCAAACAAATACCTTAAAGCAAAGATAATACTAAAATAATGATGTCAGGACGACGTAATCAAGTGATCAATTGTGAAATTTAGGAAATATTAATATCATGTTTGCAGCAAGTCGCAGGTTAAAATGGGTCTTCAATTCATCTAACATGGGTCAAATCATGCGACCCTTCCTTTTGGTCAAAACCAGAAGTGGGCTTATTGTTTAAAAGTGGTAATAGGTATCAACTTGCTTTCAACAGTGGTCGGTGGGGGTAAAGTATTTCTCAAAAATCTACTGATGATGCCACATAATTGTCGAGTGCCCTCTAGCGGCAGGTTGAAAATTCTGAAAAATGAATTTTGAATAGATGTCTTTGATGAAGTTTGTTGGAATCAGCTGAAAATTCCTCTGGATGATGATATTGACACAGTTGACACGTGTGAAAGTCGGGGCATCAGACCGGAAATTATAATAAAATGTCCTTTTATTCTTCAAAATTGGAAAAAAATCAACTCTAAAAGTATAAATGTGATTTTTCGATTAGATAATAGCTGTAGTATTGAAGTCAACCTCATGAAGTGCATAACTGGTGCACTTCTTCACACAGATAAATATTACAATATTTGCAAACTCGAAAATCCCATTCGCATACTGTGCCTTGGCTACTGTGTGCGTGGACGCGCCATGTACTCAGGACCTGGCAAAATGCCGAGCACATGGTGCTGAGAGCAGATTGCATTGTATGGAACGGCAAAAGGGAAAAGTGTTTAAAATCTCTAATCTGTGCCCATTCCATGATAACTATTATGTTTTGTATTGTATTTTGTATTGTACGTGTTTGATTGGGTTGAAACCATGCAGATAAAGGAAGGAAAGGTTTATTGATGGAGACTGACCTTATGTGATGACAGTGTCATCAGCAGATGAGTCACATAACATTAAAGGTGTATACCTTAAAGTACTGTATCTCCTAAAGTGCATGTCCGATTGGGTTGAAATTTGGCAGGTATTTAGAAAAGGAATTAGATGAAATTGACCCCATAAGATGATGACGTCATCAGATGATCAAGTCACATGACATTAAAGGTGCACTTTTCCAAGCGCTATACCTCTTAGAGTGCCTGCCTGATTGGGTTCAAACCTTACTGATATCTTGGAAAGGAAGTGCTTTAGGCAAATATTGACCTCATGTGATGATGACATTATCCAATGATAAATCACGTGACATTAAAGGTGCACTATTTGAAACTCTATTTCTCCTGGAGTATACATGTATATACAGTTGGGTTCAAACCTCGCAGATATCTTGAAAGGTAAGTGATTTAGACAACTATTGACCAGATGGTGACGTCATTAGAGGAGGAGTCAAGTGACAGTTTAATTAAAGCATGTCATTTCCTGCAGTGGCTTCATGATTCGGTTGAAACTATGGACCCAAATGGTCTTGAAATAATTGTGCCATCAGATTGGGTCATAGAGTGGTTGTTGAAATTAACAAAGGAATGCGAAAAAGCCCTCTGTTCTGTTAGCACACAGACAGAAGAGCTTTAGTTTCTTCTTATTCTGCCCCAAAGCCCATTTGATTTGTGCACGTTTCTTGTGCCCCTCGACTTTAGTGCTTTGCCAACTTTGGATTTTCATCAAACTTACATGGATGAAGGACCCTAGTGCTTAGATGGTGCTAGAAACATGACGTCATGATGACGTCATGAATCATCAAGTGATTTTTTTATTGTTTTTTCAATATTTATTTCTGTCCATTGAGTTTGTACATGTTTAGTTAGCAAGTTAGCAATCGTCAAATCGTCATAAACGATTTACCAAACACTCACCATAAAGTGAAGACAATACTTGAATAATTATGTCATGACGACGTCATCAAGTGATTTATTATTAAATTTTGAACATTTAAATATTAAGTTCAACATAACAAATCAACCATGGCCTCCCGAATATTCTGTTTGGGGCAAGTGCCAGAGTAAAATTGGGACTTAAAATAATAATGATATTGGTATTTATAAAGCGCCTTTATAATAGAGCAAAGTGCTGTACATCATTATTATCCATGTTCCGATTGGGTTCAAACTTTGCAGATTTCATAGAAAGGGAGTGCTTTAGACAAGAAAATGACGTCATCATGTGACAAATCATGTTACATTAAAGGTGAACTCTTTAAAACATCTCGTGAAGT